ATCAGCTATTCTCATTAGGTTGCTCAAATGCGTGTTTGTTTCATTTTGATCGTTTCTACCCACATTTGTTTCATTTTCATTTATCCGTTTCAGAGTAGAAGGCATTGCCTTTACAAGGTATTTGTCCATCTTACAATATTGAGCAAAAAATTTTAACTTCTAACATGGAGAAACCTTACCTACGGTAAACACGTGGTTGCAGAGAAATGCGTTCTGAGAGAGGTTCCGAGGGATGGTGTTCTGTTGTTCTTAAAGGTTCTGAACAATACTGGTAAATAGGGAAGCTAGATAATGGGGCAGATGTTGAAAATAATGAAAGATCCAGGAAGAAAAGTGAAACAGATTTCATTCTAAATGGCGCAATGAGAAATTTTTTTCAAAATGCAAGAAATTCGCGAATTTTGAAATTGCCTTATAGAATGCGCGAATTTCTCGCGGAAATAATTTTTTAATGCGAGAAAAAAAAAATATGCGAGATTCTCGCGCTGTAGTGAAAACACTGAACTACATGTTCTTTCTTAATATCTTATATAATGTTGTATAATGGTAAGTAATATTTTCAAATTGTTCAAGATAGCATTTTTTAATGGTGTATTTGTGAAAAAAAAACAACACAATTTCCATGTAAGTAATAAGACGTTTTCAAAGTGAAAATTCCAGGAATTTGTAAATTATATTTTGGAAACAATTCTAAAGAACTGTTTGATGTTCTTCATATGAAGAGTTCATGAAAATTGTGCTTTTCTTAGTGAAAATTTTGGAAATTTGCAAGTTCTAATCTAGATACAATACTAAGAAACAGCTAGAAATAATAAAAGCGTCACCTTTTAAAACATATGGCTTATCATTATATTACTCCAAGCCCTTATTATGTAAATTAATCTCCATTATTTAAATAAGATGAAACTATTTTAATTATACATTGTTTACGCTAAGCTAAATTATAATGCCAATAAATCATAATGTCAATGATATAGTCATAATTTGTGTGACATTTACATTATATTTAATATGATAAGAAAAGTAATATTCATTAAAATCTGCAAAGTGTGTTAATTAATTTTGCTAAAATAACTGACCGATTCAAAGATTGCTTAGGTAGAGATGATATTCATGCATATTAGAATGTTTGTAGTTTAAAAATAAATTAAATTGAATATCACGAATTAATGATATTTTATAAAAAAATATTTTTTGATATTGACTATTAAAAAAAATAATAACTTGGTTATTTAATGATGTGTCAAACATGATTATGATTATTTTTCAGTTCTATAACAATTTCATTTACCGAACTTGATGTAAAATCTAACTTCTTAGGCTATCTAATATGAGCAATTGTAATTTTCTTAATATTTTTCTGACTTATATATCAAAGTTTCAAATAATAAAAATTAAATGATAAATTCAGGATCAATTAAATGTACTTAATGCATCAAGAATTCAATTGTTATTCCTTTTTGCCCTAGATTACATATATATCATAATAATCAAAAATTTATGTCTAATTCTTTAGATATAAATTTAGCTAAATTTTTCATGGCCATTTGCGATGAATAGTTTTTTTTTATCTCATGTTGTTGACTGCTTGTTTGATCTGTTGCCAATACTAACTTTTTTTCCAATTAATGATAAGTACCAAATTTTACTTTGACAATGTATTGCCTCTTTTTTTTTTACTGCAATAAGCCAACTGTTAATTGAAAATAATCTGCTTTCAAAAATTGTGTTATTTGTAATATGCAGCCCAACTTATCTAATATTCAGTTTTAAAATTACTTTTGAGTAAAAATTAAATTGTAAACATAATTATTGTATTAAATTATTTCTGTTGAGTTGGCAAAACTGGGTTTTACAGCTCCCTGGATGGTCTATTTTTTAGATAAGATAGCCATTTTAATAATAGTCATTATTCTTTGCTGTATTCTAAGAAAATAAAGCTTTGACAAGTGTAGGATGTTTTTATTTACTTTTCCCTCTGCTTTGAATTTATTGTTCCTTTGATTCAATTTATAAGTTCATTTGATTTTTTTAATTAAGTAATTGCTTGATTGACTTTGAATTTAGTATTTTATTGAATGTTAAGTTTATAAAAATAAATATAAGTAGGTATTAGTATTTGTATGACTAAAATTCTGTCCTTTGCAATGCAAGAACATTTAAAATTTAGTTTTATTGTCAGTTTTTCCCTCTGTTACAGTGTCATTTGCAGTGTAAATATGGTTAGAGTGTAAATTGCTTACTAATTCAGGTAATTAATATTTTCATTTAAACACTTTTGAACATAGGTAACAGAGTGGAGCATGATGCAGATTCAAGTTAATGTTTTATTATTTTTGTTTTATGATTTACACATATGGTTATACTGCTGTTTGAAACTTTGTGTACAAAGAACATTGCAATCGCAGCTGAAATTTTTATAAATAGCAATTCGAATATTTAATATTTTAAGAAGAATTTTTCTAGATGCTGCTCCATTTTTAAAATGACCCTTTTATTTTTATGTTTTAAATAACATGAAACAATTAAAATTTTTCTAAAATTAGCTTAAAATTTTAAAAATTCAGTTAAAAATCTCTGATAATCATTGCACAGTCTTATAAGTGCTAGTAGAGTTTTATACTAATAAAACAGTGCTTTCCAAACATGCGAGTGGTAAATTATTTTTTAATCGGTCATAATCGGAATATGTGTGAATATATGCTATTTTGTATACTTCGGAATATAATGCATAATTGGTAAATTGGTTTTAAAAATAATTCTAACATATAAAAGATCTAAATGAGAATGAAAAGCATTAGATATATTATTCAAGTTAATTATGTTTATAACAATAATAAATTCAAAAACTCATTTAAAAGTTTAGTGTTTTCGTTATAATTTATGCTCCAAATCATATTGACTTCTTAGTAATTTATGCATAGAATAAATTAGTTTATATTTTTCATATTAACTTCTGTTTATCATGATTGTTAACATTATAATTTAAGTAATTTAGTTCATTTAATCTATTTTATTTTTATTTCAAAGAAATTTATTTGTTCGGATATAATGATTTTGGTTTTATAATTTTATTTATTTTTAATCGTAGGTTTTTAAATTAGTAAAATATTGCTTGTGCCCTGATGTCTGAAGAGTATTTAAACCATCTACCTGATGCCCAGAAAGAATTCAAGCTTGTTTGTGAGCAGAAAAGCAGGAATCTCAAGGAATGAGGTATTTAGCTTATTGAATTTATGAATTGTTGATACAAATTATGAATGAATTGTTGATAAAAATTTTGAGCCTAATTACCTACAACCGTCAAGAAATCACAATGTTGTCTAACTGCTAATCACCATCTATTGTTTAATTATTTGACAATCCTCTGTTTACTCCTTGATGTAAATGCTAAAGGGCTCAAGTATTGCTCTTTAGTGTCACCCTAGTAATAGAAAAGGCAAATTTATGCTTCTCTCTTGCTTTTTTTCCCCGTATGGGGCCCATGTACAGACATTGTTTTTTTTATTTGAGCACTCTAAGAAAATGACTAGCCAACTCATCTTTGTTTTCAGATCTTTTCATGTGAACATATTTTAATTTTAGGTTTTTAATAAAGACTTTTATTTAATATTTTTTGATGCCTTAAAATTAAAAAAGTATCGCTTAAGGAAAAAAAAAGTAACATTTTCAAAAAATAACGAAAAAAAATTATTGTATTTTTTAATAGTTTATTCTTTTGAGATTATTGTTATTAGAGAAAAACATTGTTTTAAAATTTCTTTCTTTAAAACCATTTCAATTAAATAATTTCATAAAAATATTAAATGAATAATGGACTGAATGTTGAATTGATTTTTGAAAAGATTTAAAAGTTACGGCATAATATGTGATCCACATATTATCCATATGATTCGTAAGATCCACATATTATGAGTCGCAGCAAGTCTTGCACTGCATGCAGCCCAACGATGATTATAATAAACAGATATTAGATATCTTAAACAGATATCAAAATAAAATGCTGTAAATATTCAGAATTAATAATCTCTTTCCCTTGTGCTGTCCTTTAAAACATATTTTTGCTTTACTTGTTTTTTATTTTTACCATACTTTTTATCTTCAACTGAATCCAGTTAATTGAGTAATTCTATATAATCTATTTCTTCCTTTTAAATTTCTTTTTTTTATTAATTGTCATTACTTCATTAAAAAAATTCACTGTTTGTAGATATCTGGGAAATATTATAAGTAATTGGTTATTATATTATATTGGTTATTATTATTATATTGGTTATCCATATTCAAGTAGCCTGCCAAAATATCCAAGGCTATGCAAAAAATTGATGGGTTTGTTTGGTTGTAATGTCTTTTCTCTCTCAAATTTCTTGCGCTTCTTTCTTTAATATTATTCTGAATTTACTATATTCTGGATGACAAAATTAAGTTTACAGCAAATCTTTCTTTCAGCAAATGAACTCTGGAAATTCACGGTTATGAACTCTGAACTGTGGAAATTCAAATGGACTCTGGAAAGAAATTCAAGGTAAGGGATTCATCAAAGCAATTTCCCGAGTAGGAGAACTAAACTTAGGTTATTGTGCTACCAACTTTTAATGGACAAGGGTGCAATCAGTGATGTTGCTGTATCAGATATTAACTGTATCCTAGTATATTAGTACTATATGCTATATAACTGTATACTAGTACTATACCTTCTGTTATGATCACATTGGTATCGGAAACATTTGATTCTATAAAGCCGCTGATGACAACAAACCCTATTTCTACACTTAAGGGTAAAAAAAAAACTTTACAAATACACTAAAAATTAATTACTACACTCATATTTTAGTTTTACGATTTAAATCACTTTTTATATTTTAATTAAATCCAAATTAAAATTTTTAATTTAACACAAGGTTCTTAAAATATTCCAGAATTCGAAATTAAAATTAGGCAGCATCGTTTGGAAGCTAATAAAAGTTTCCATATTGCCTTGAGTGTCATGAAATCAGATCCATTTCAAATTTATCCTAGACTCAAATCTTGCTTGCTGTACAGGCACATTGCTAGCTGACACATTTAACTTACAATATATAGGAAAATGTTCCATGTAGCTTAGTACATTTTGCTTGTGTGGGGTATGGCAAAATTTGATATTAATATGTTACTCGTTTTAGGATATTTGGGGAAAAATTACAAATATTGAAACAAAAAAAGTATATCAATATGTACTTCATTTTAAAGTGTGTGTCCTTTAAAATCTTGATAGTAAAATATGGTTAAAGTCCTTTTAGCAAAGGATGATTATAACAGTATTTTATATTGTATGATTCTTTTCTTGCCAATTTGATTTTAAAAAGTCACTGATTTTTATAATTCAATGATTTCATTAGTGATGGTCTATGTATCTTTGAAATAAATAATTTATTAAGTTATTGATAAATTATATTAAATTTAGTCTCACATAAAAGAAAATAGATTTTCATTTCTTAGATTCTAGCATATTATGTTTTATTTTTCATAGATTTCTGTGTTAAATAACATTTATATTAAATTTATGAGAAAACTTCATTTTTTTCAGAACAATTTTTTACCAGTTATTTTTTTGAATGCATAATTCTGCTGCTCAGTGCATACTTTTTCTTATTGGATGCAGTTAAATCGATAGGATTATCTAGAAGAGAAACATACGAAGAAATTTGGCATATTCTTTGATTCTGTTAACTCCCAGCACATATGTGATAAACTAAAGAGGCTTTGGTTTTCCTTGGATTCTCCCCATTTAGTTCCATGTCTTAGAAATGTAGTGGCCCCTTAAAAGAACTTAATGGCAAATGTTGTACCCATATTATTTTTATTATTAACTATTATTGCTCAATGTTTTATGAAATCGATAGGTGAAAAATAAATTGTTATCACTCTCAAAATTGATAATAACATGAATATATAATTGAGCCTTATTGATGTGAAAACACTTAACCTGAATTTCTTTGGATGTGATTTTAATTTTTGGTTTTTGTCAAATCTCAAATGAATATAATATTCAGCAATTATTGTGCAAATATGTTTAACACAATTTTTTTAAGGTAAACTCAAATTTCTTTATGCCTAGAAAAAGTTTTATTTGTAACATGAACGAAAAATTTATTTTCACATAATGTGAAAAAACTAACAGTTCATATCCTCTATAATACCTAATATTAATTATTTAATCATTGAAGTTGTCAAATATAAGACATAAATTGAACCAGTCTGGGGTAATGACTGATACAACTTTATTATTTTTAAAGTTGAAAGCAGACTTTTTGTATTTTTAACATGAATAAAAAGCTTTCTTTGGTCCTTATGATGTTAATAACGTTAACTTTTATAACATATGAACACAGTTAGATAACATAGATGCTTTTACATTTTCAAAGAATAAGTTATCTAAATTTTTTTTTGAATAAATGTCTTTTTAAAAATATACATATGCATTTTTAATGCAAAAATAATAAATTAGTTGTAGTAGATATTTCTAGGCTATATATTTAAGGGGTCACAGTATCCAAAAAATGACAAAAATACAAATTTTTTTTATAGCTTATAATAAAACTTCAAACTATTCTAAATGCACTGAAAAAAAAATCATGTCTCTATCTATATTTTTGAAAAAGTTATGAATGATTTTAGATTGTCCTAATACAGAATCTTGCTCTGCAGACAAACTTTAAAGGGCTTTTTCTCATAAATAATAATTTTGTGTTTTGATCTTGATTAAATTCCTAAGGAATTTTTTCTATTTAAGATAAAGCTTTGAAGTAAACTTTTTTATCTTAAGTATAATACACTTATTTATACTGTGCATGGAATAAGCATTTTATAAGGTATTACAATTTTTACAGCATGTTATATATACCTAACAGGAATTTTTACCCTTTTTTTTCTACTTTTTTACAAAATATTTTGTAAAAAATACTCTAATTGATATATCATTAAATGAATGCACAAAATTGTTAAGAAGAATATTGTAAGCACTAAGAGAAAAAAAATTTTTGATAGTAAGTTAAAATAAAAAAGCCTTAGAGATTTAAAAATTTTGAATTTCTTCAACTTTCTTTAAAATTTTAAAAAATTTAAACAGTTTAATTGTTTTTTGAAGATAAATTATTGATTATAAGTTAAATAAGCATGTAAAGCATCCTCAAAATGAATGATTATACCTTTATTTAAAAAAATTGTTGCAAAGGTACTGTAGCCCCTGAGAAATAAATATTTATTACACTGATCATAAAAATGAGAAACAGTTTTTTGATGTAACTTTTGATATTTATTTTTCTAATATATGTATATTTTTTTCAAGTATGTTGGGGATATTTAAAAATGTTAAATATTTTTGTCATTTTTTGGTATAAAATTCCATTGCTAAACAATAATATGATTTTGTGGCTTTGCAGATGCTTTTGGATTATAAGCACAGATATTTTATTTCTTAATTTTTTAAAAATCTTACTCTGCATATGAATGTAAAGATTCAAGTTTTTTAAAGAAATCCTACATATCTTTTGCGATACAGGTTGTCATTTCATTCTCATTCTCACAGGTTATTCTGAGAAATTGATTTCCCAATCTTCCTAAAAAAAGAGAATGATTACTAGAGAGTGATTACTACTTACTGAAGAGAATTATTTCGCGAATAGTCTTCTCCGTTTCTCGTGATGTTTCTTGTTTTGTATCTTTGAATGTTTCTTGTACCTTTTTATGTGTTAGTATTGTTTGTTTTTGTATTTGAAAATTTGAGAAAACGTAGAAAGTAGTACTCTTTTTTGAGCTTCAGTTAGACTAATATATTTTGTTGTTTCTTTCAGTTATAAATTAATAATTTTTATAACTTTCGAAGTAATTGTATTTATTATGAATTTATAAATATTATCAACTATTATATGATTCAGAGTGTAAAATCTGAACAGAATCTGATATTCAGAATGTAATATCTGTTCTTTTTATATTTAAATATTTGAGAAAACATAGAAAGTAGTACTCTTTTTGAGCTTCCATTAGACTAAAATATTTTGTTATTTCTTTAAATTGTAAAATAATAACTTTTGTAACTTTCAAAGTAATTGTATTTATTATAAAACTATAAAATTTATGAACGATTATATGATTCAGAATATAAGTTCAGAATTATAATTTTATATAATTCAGAATGTGAAAATGTATTGACAAATAATATGCCTGAATATCCCTCTGCATATTCACAATAAGAATTTATCTATAGAAAATATCTATTACCGTATATTCCGGCGCATAACGCGCCCCGGCGTATAACGCGCCCCGGCGTATAACGCGCCCCGGCGTATAACGTGCACCCATAATTTTTAATAACTTTCTTTAAATTTTAAGATTTACTCTTCGTATAACGCGCACGAAAATTTGGATTGTACATGTGCAATATCTCGTCTAGTATCAATAGAAAACCAGAAAGCCTTTTAGTGTGGGACATGTTTAGGTCCCACCTTACAGATAATACAAAAAAATTGTTGAAAGAATGTAACACCGATATGGCAGTTATTCCGGGCGGATTGACACCATTAGTTCAGCCATTGGACGTCTGCTTAAACAAACCATTTAAAGCCAATTTAAAAAAACAGTGGAACACTTGGATGTTGGAGGGCGAGAAAACCTTTACGAAAGGAGGACATATGCGTCATGCAAGTTTGGAAACAGTGTGCGAATGGATATTAAAAGCATGGGATGAAATTAAGCCTGAGATGGTTAGAAAATCATTCAAAAAATGCAGCATTTCAAATAATCTGGACGGATCAGAAGATGACTGTTTATTTATGGATGAGGGTAACACAGATGATGAAGACGAAACAGATTGTGATGACGTGCCTGAAGAAATAACGGAAGACGAATATAATGAACTATTTATGTAATAACGAAAATCAATAAAGTATATAGGTAAAGGTATGTTATTTCTTTAAAATAAAAGTATTTTTCTATAGTATTTAAATTTTTTTAATCTATAATTTTTTATATTCGGCGTATACCGCGCACCCGTAAATTCCAATGTTATTTTTTTTATTAAAAGTGCGCGTTATACGCCGGAATATACGGTATGTCTTGTTAATAAAAAATGTAGTTACTTTTATTTGTGTTTATTTGAATTACTGATCAATTTTTGTAAAGTAATATTTGAACAAATCATATGGACAATTCTAATATATTTAGGCAAATATATTTTGACTAATATATTTTGTTATTTCTTTCAATTATAAATTAATAACTTTCTAAGTAATTGTATTTATTGTGAAACTATAAAAATTATGAACTATTATATGATTCAGAAAGTAAAAATGTATTGACAAATGAAGTGAATATCCTTCTGCATATTCACAATACAAATTTATGTGTGAAAAATGTATATTATGTCTTGTTAGTAAAAATGTAGTTAGTTTTATTTATGTTTAGTTGCAGCACTGTTCAATTTTTATAAAGTAATATCGGAAAAAGTCATATGGATAATTCTAATATATTTAGACTAATATATTTTGCTATTTCTTTCAATTATAAATTAATAACTTTTATAAATTTCAAAGTAATTGTATTTTATACGAAACTATAAAAATAATAAATGATTATATGATTCAGAATGTAAATTCAGAATTATAATTTTATATGATTCAGAATACAAATTTAGAATTATAATTTTATATGATTCAGAATGCAAAAATGTATTGCAAATAATATGCCTGAATATCCCTCTGCATATTCACAATAAGAATTTATCTATAGAAAATGTCTATTATGTCTTGTTAATAAAAAATGTAGTTACTTTTATTTGTGTTTATTTGAATTACTGATCAATTTTTGTAAAATAATATTTGAACAAATCATTAGGACAATTCTAATATATATAGACAAATATATTTTGACTAATATATTTTGTTATTTCTTTCAATTATAAATTAATAACTTTCTAAGTAATTGTATTTATTGTGAAACTATAAAAATTATGAACTATTATATGATTCAGAAAGTAAAAATGTATTGACAAATGAAGTGAATATCCTTCTGCATATTCACAATACAAATTTATGTGTGAAAAATGTATATTATGTCTTGTTAGTAAAAATGTAGTTAGTTTTATTTATGTTTAGTTGCAGCACTGTTCAATTTTTATAAAGTAATATCGGAAAAAGTCATATGGATAATTCTAATATATTTAGACTAATATATTTTGCTATTTCTTTCAATTATAAATTAATAACTTTTATAAATTTCAAAGTAATTGTATTTTATACGAAACTATAAAAATAATAAATGATTATATGATTCAGAATGTAAATTCAGAATTATAATTTTATATGATTCAGAATACAAATTTAGAATTATAATTTTATATGATTCAGAATGCAAAAATGTATTGCAAATAATATGCCTGAATATCCCTCTGCATATTCACAATAAGAATTTATCTATAGAAAATGTCTATTATGTCTTGTTAATAAAAAATGTAGTTACTTTTATTTNTTTTATATTCGGCGTATACCGCGCACCCGTAAATTCCAATGTTATTTTTTTTATTAAAAGTGCGCGTTATACGCCGGAATATACGGTATGTCTTGTTAATAAAAAATGTAGTTACTTTTATTTGTGTTTATTTGAATTACTGATCAATTTTTGTAAAGTAATATTTGAACAAATCATATGGACAATTCTAATATATTTAGGCAAATATATTTTGACTAATATATTTTGTTATTTCTTTCAATTATAAATTAATAACTTTCAAAGTAATTGTATTTATTATGAAACTATAAAAATTATGAACTATTATATGATTCAGAAAGTAAAAATCTATTGACGAATAATAAAGTGAATATCCTTCTGCATATTCACAATACGAATTTGTGTGTAAAAAATGTACATTATGTCCTGTTAGTAAAAATGTAGTTAGTTTATTTATGTTTATTTGCAGTACTGTTCAATTTTTATAAAATAATATCTGAACAAATGATATGTACAATTCTAATATATTTAGACTAATATATTTTGTTATTTCTTTCAATTATAATTTAATAACTTTTATAACTTTCTAAGTAATTGTATTTTTTACAAAACTATAAAAATTATAAACGGTTATATGATTCAGAATGTAAATTCAGAATTATAATTTTATATGATTCAGAATACAAAAATGTATTGACAAATAATAAACCTGGATATCCTTCCAGATATTCACAATAGGAATTTATGAATAAAAAAAGCCTTGTTAATAAAAAATTTAGTTACTTTTATTTGTGTTTATTTGCATTACTGTTCAATTTTATGAAATAATATCTGAGCTGATCATATGGACAAAAATTCTGCTCCCTTTCAAGTTCTTGTTAACAGGGTTCGATTATAACGGATTTAAAACTGTATATAGGTAAAAATATGTCATCTTAAAGGCATATATGGATTTTTTTAAAAATTTTCTCTGGTATTTGATGAAAGATTAAAAAAGGAAAAAGTAATCTATATGTTTATAATATTGGAAACATTTTCTAGCAATATTTAAATGATTATTTAACCTTTAAATAACTTCATATATCTATCATTCTGGAATAACATTAAAGATCACATTATGTAAGGATTCATGTCACATAAAAATTTACCAAAAAATAAATGTAGCCTAGGTAATTTAATATTTTCTTTGAATTTTCTCACATTTAAAAAATTATAATTTCGTTAAAAATTACTCTGAAAATTTAGCCAACAACAATGGAATTATTACTTTTTATTACTAAACACTCTGCAAATTAAAATTATTTAAAGTATTGTTTTCTGACATTTCTGCAGACGATATCAACAATTAACAGAATATGGGTAATTTTTTTGAACTGAAGTTGCCTAGATTTGCAGTAACTTGAATTATTTTCATTTGTTGAAGGGATTTATAATTTGTAAGGATTAACTGATAATCTATTTAATTATGTATGTAAATTCAGAACCACACTTTACTTTCGTTATACACGCTGAATTCTTTATACTTAGCAAAGCTAAGCTTAGTAAAAGCTTTATAGCTATGTATCTATAGCTTAGCAAAACAATAGCAACATCAAACTTAAATTATTTAAGATTCATATATCAAATTTTTGTTTTCCCCATTTCACAGAGCATTTAAATAAAATTGAGAACTTACGCTATTGAAAATGAGTCCATATCATGAAATCATAGTTTACTTTCTATTTTTTTTTAAAATTGCATGATATAAGGCAATAATTAAGGCATAAATCTCCCCTACCTTTCCCTTGGCAGTAGCACTCATTTTTAAAGATGATATTTTTGTCTGTACACCGTAATTTTAAATAGATTAATGATTGTAAAATTAGAACTATACCATAAAACATTTTGTGAATTATACTATATTAATTTTTTTGATTAAACAATTTTTAAAAAATGTTTGCACATATTTATATTTGTAATATAAAAACAGATATTTCTTAAAATTATTATTTTGAGTTGTCCAATGTGATACACAAATATACATTATTGTATAATTTATTTTCTTTATTGCTAGTTACAAAAACTAAGTTTAGCAAAGAGTAATAAAATATCTCTTATATTATTACTCTTTAAATTAAAAGAATGTTTGAATTCAATATGTAAATTTTACTTTATAAAATAAAATTATAATTTCTTTTACAAATAAAAAATAATAAATATTATAAGTTTTTGAATTGTTGTTGGTGGTAACAAGTTTTTAAATTTTTTTTGGAATTTTTCGTTCAGATTAGAATTTTTCGAGCAGATTGAGAACCACAATCATATTAGGAAAAACATAAGAGAACCTAGTTTATTCTGTTGAAAAGCATGTACATGGTGCTTAACGTTTTTAAAAGTGCTTAAAGGTGCTTATTTCCGATTTTAATTTTCTGAAAGTTCTTGAAGGTGCTTTTTTCATTGGGTGTTTTTAAAAAGTGCTTAATTTTCCCTTTTCGAAAATGAGATTTTTTTACTTAACTATGTCGATTTTCGCCATGTATTATGCAAAAGCGT